AGCAGGACGGGAAGCAAAGCAAGTCCACCTTGGACTGAACCAGATCCATGCTTATCACAGAACAAGTAGCTCCGGGACACCAGCCGCCAAGTACTCAAATAGCCCTGCAAGCTCGGTAGGGCTGCTTCTCCCCACAGTATGGACTGGAGCATTTTAAACTAGAAGCCCCAATTTCTGCTTGGTGACCGCATGCAGACGTCCCACGGCGCACGCAGGAAGGCGCAGCCTTGCAGACTCGTACCACTCATTCAGCATCGCAAGCACAACGTTGTGCAGGAAGGGCTCTCCTGCACCCTGATGCCCGCCGCATCTGCAGGCTCTCAATGTAAATATCTGGTGAAGAGCATCCCAAGCCTCCCTCCCTCAGGCACGTCAGGTCTCTTTTCTCTTTTCCTTGTCGACTAACAGCCCAGTCAAGAGTCTCCACCTCCACCCGCAGCTGATGCTACCTAGCAGTCACCACAGCAGGCAGACGCCTGCAGGCTGTTTGTTCGAGGGTGTTTTTTAACCCTGATGCTGCCTGCCCTGACACTGACCCGTCTCGTATGACCAGCTATGAGTAAAGCCTTCCTGAGGCTCTCTGCGGAGAGCAAGCTGCCAGCCTGTCCTCTGGAACTGCAGCCTGCAATTTGAATGCATGCGGGCACCACGTGCCAGGAAGAATGAACTTTTCACCGCTGGATTATAACATTTGGTTTCCTGTCTTATGGCAAGGCAGCATTTACACGTGGATTCAAACAGAGGGTTAGAGCTCCAGGGAACTCCACGCCGAGAGCTGATGATACAGACCATCAGGTTTTGCTTATTGAGATTTAGCAGCATCCCTCTTGTTGCTCATTCAGTTTTCACCAGATTTTGTCAAGTGTCCAGCCAGGGTCCATGTGCCTTTATCACGCGTGAAAGTGAAGCAAAAAAATACTTTAAGAATAAATTCAGTGTTGAACACAGACAAGAAAAAATCAGCAAACCCAAGTGGTATGTCCATCGTCTCCCATTCCCAGCCTGCTCCCCTTTCCCCACCCCCCCCACCCCCCACCAAAAAAGGGAGGTTTTGGCAGTTACCTGCCTATACACCTACACCATTTCCAATTAATATGATCAGAAAAATTCATGGTTTGTCCTGGTAGCCCTTCTGCACTCAAAGTCTCCATGTTGGAAACTAAAACTAAAACTGGCTAGGAGAGAAAATGATCTGGGAAGAGCACGTAGTCTCAGGACTCTTCTGTTTTCCCAGAAATAAGAGAATTACAAGTCGCAGTGGCCGCTGAAAGCGGGGAGAAGTTATGCTGCCCGGGACTTTCTGTGGTGTAGCAAGCATGCGGCCGGTGGCTGGCAGGCTGCTGTGGTGTGGTGGTGCACAGAGGTGCCTGAACCCAGCTGCCCGAGTTTTACTTTCTGAGGACTGCAGAGGAGCAGACTGAGCTCAAAATGGGTCTTTTCCTGGGCCCAATGGAGCAAGTTTCCTCCTCCAATGCTGATGCTGCAGAAAACTGAATTTGGGAAGCCCTGGCTGGGGTAGGGGCAGAGCCCTTGTGCCTGCCTGTCACACGCAACATGGATTAACTGAAAAAAGACAGCATGGGCCCTGGTGCTGGTTTTTCCCTGCCAGGCTCACGAAAAGAGGCAGCTGATTTTCTTTGTTCTCCTTCTGTATTCAGCCTCGCTATTTTAAATAGCTAAAAAGTGAGCGGGTTGCTTCAGTTGGGCGAGGGGCCAAGATACTTGCAGGGATTTCTCACCCATGTAGAGCAGTCCTGGGCTCTCCAGGATGAGAGAGAGGTGGAAATGCGGGAGCGAGGCCAGCAAAGGACTGTGCAGATGTTGAAGGGATCGGCGCATCTGTTACATGAGGGGAGGTGGAGAGAGCTGGGCCCGCTCCACCTGGAGAAGAGGATGCTCGGGGGGGTCTTGCCCATGTGCATAAGTTCCTGATGGAGGAACAAAGACGATGGAGCCAGGCTCTTCCCCGTGGTGCCCAGCACCAGGACCAGAGGCAAAAGGCACAAACTGGAAGGCAGGAGGCTCCGTCTAAACATAAGGAAAACGCCAGGTTTGTTCTGGTTGCGGAGGCTCCGTCCCTGGAGACGTTGAGGCCCGACGGGACACGGCCCTGAGCCACCGGCTCGTGGTGACCCTGCTCGGAGCAGGGGCTTGGGCTGGCTGACGCCCAGAGCTGCCTGTCGTCCTGAGCACGTGAAATGTGTGGAAAACGCGAGGGACTCCCAGGCAATGAACCGGCTGAGTGCAAAAGGAAGTGGAGCAGGGCTGAGCGGTTTAGCAAAAGCTGAACTAAATATTAGACCGAGTCTGCCCAGCAACAGCGCGACGCGTTGCGTACACGTGTTTGGCACCCCCGCAGTAAAGCAGCTTTATGCAGGTGAGCGGATGCTCCGAGACGGGCTCTGCCCACAGGAGGGCTGCTGCGGCGCTGGAGAGGGCCGCGCTCCCACCGGGTTTCTCACTTGCGGGTGGGTGCAACGTCACTGCCACAGCTCGACATCCAAAGTTTGGGCACGATTTAGCCCTGCAGGGCTGGCTACCTGGCCCTGTCTTGTACGACTTCAAAACTATGAAGGATTGCAGTCTTCAGATTTTTCCCCCTGCCAAGTTCACAACATTGTACTTGACTGTGTCATACAGCATGTGTGTCGAATCCTTTTGATGCCATTAATCCGTTCCCTAAATACATTTTCAACATAGGTCCCCTAAAGTAACATTTCTGGACTTTTTTTCAATTCTGGAGCCGGGTCTTTGAACACTCTTGGGTCTTAGTTCATGTCTGGGGTAGCACACAGGCCCTTTGGGAACTGAAGCAAGGCTGGCAAGCCGTTTAGGCACTTCCGGAACCTGTGGGCAGGGAATCCCACCCATCACCAAAGGTCTGCAGGTAGAAATACGCTCCTGCAAACCTTGTGCCGCAGCGCATGCACTGAAAGAACACCGGACAGCCAAGTGTCTTCCTGCTCTTACACTGTTGCTTTGTCCAGCAATCTGGATTTTCTATAAAAGCGGAGAGAAAGAAGAAGTATTGCTGCTTTAAACCAGATGGTCTGGTGAAGAGAGTACGTCCTCCCGGGGAGGAGTTTTCAGGGAGGAAGGCACTGTGCAGCCCATAAATACCCCGGACCGGGATTGCCGCTGTCCCATCTGCCTGTGACCTCGCCGGTGAAGGGCAGCAGTCCCGCTCGTCTTGAAAAAGCAGCATGGCTGATGCATTTGTGGAGAGCAAAATCAGGGACGGCAGAGTAACCCTGTTCATAAAGCCAGACTGCTCTTACTGCAGGAATGCCTGCGACATTCTAAAGAAGTACGACTTTGTGTACGGAGGCCTGAAAGTGTGTGATATTAGTGGGCGGGAGGACGTCCAGGAAACCTTGCAGCGAAGAACAAGGCAAAGAACGGTAAGTTCTCACCGTCTTATTTCAGAATTTGCTGCTCCCTTGCCCCAGGCTGAAACGAGGTCTCTTTCCCCAGTACTTTCTGTGCCAGAACACAGGCAGAAGCTGCACCCCTTCCCTGTTTTTAAAAATGCTCCTTCTTTCGATTCCTCTGCTCCTCTTGTCACTGGAGCCACTGCAGGGATGCGAGCTGCC